CTCGGCCCGCTTCTCTTTGCAGCGGCGATTCAGCCAACGCTCCAGAGCACGGCAACACTCCTCCCCGAAGTGGCGATCGTAGCATACGCCGATGACATCACCATCGTGGGACCCCGAGATGCGGCGTATGAGGCCTTCATCAACATCACGAGGGAGCTGACATCACTCAGACTCCGTTGCAACATCGCCAAGTCCACAGGATGGGAGCAGAGCACAGGGGGCGGAAACGAGATACCACCACCACAGGGCCTGCCAATAAACACCAACGGCATTGGAGTTTTGGGGAGCCCCATCGGCACTCCTGCTTTCTGCACCAACCAGGCACAGACGCGACTCACAGAGGCATCCGCTCCGCTACCTCTGATAGCATAGCTTCACCCCCAGCATGCCATGCTAATGCTCTCCCGGAGCATATCACGCAGGATATCCTATCTGCTGCGAACCACACCCGCGGCGGTGCTGGAGAGGGAGGAATGTAGGTCATGGAGTGAATCTCTGATGGGAGCGGCATTTGCAGCGGCGAAACTACGAGTCCCAGTGAGTGAGCTGGAACAGAGTCTGCTTTGGCGGCAAGGCACCCTACCGGTTAGGCTAGGAGGGCTAGGCATCATTGACCCTACCTCGGAGGCGCCGGCAGCCTACATTGCGTCGATCAAAGCTGCACAACACCTACTACGGCAGATGAACCTGCCTGAGGGGTACCTGCTGAGCCGAGCGGTCACGCTATTGGACTATGCTTGGAGCCCACCCCCACCCGGGGTCAACCAGTTGGCCCCACTTGAAGCGGCTCTACAGGCACCAGCGAGGACCGCATTACAGACGTTCAGGGAGAGACCGGCAGGACAGGGTAACCTCCAGCTAGCCCTGTCCCGCCACATCAACGAGAGACGAGCCGCGGAGCTGCTGGCAGACACGATCACAGACCGCCCAAGCACACACAGCGGGCATGCGATACGCCTCATCAGCCTGCAAGGGGTGGGGGCGGGAGACTGGCTTCACGCTGTGCCTTTGAGAGCTGACCTTACATTCGCCCCTGGTCAGTTCTCATTGGCGCTGGGCTTTCGCATGGGCATGTCCTTGCCGGTCACTGTGAAGTGCCCCTGCAAGCGGGAGTATTCAGACATCAATGACACAAGTCTGCCAAACCATCTCCTGAGGTGCGGGTATGGGGGGGATGTGGTCCGAACGCACAACTCACTGGTATATGCGGCTCTCAGGATGGCAAGGGAGGCGGACTTCACGTGCTTTCATGAGACTTCAGCCTTCTCCCCACCGATACTCAGGAAGAGAGGGGATCTGGCGATTAGAGACAAGGAGTCAAACGAGACCTGGGTGACAGACGTAATGGTGACTGACCCCGTGCTCCAGCAACGCGACACCAGGGCAAGGAAACCACCAGGATGGGCAGCTGAGGAGGCATCGGCTAGGAAGCACAGAGAATATGAGGGGCGGCCGGACTATGTAGGTTTCTTTGGCCTTGCAGTAGAGACGTATGGGGCTCTGTCCACTGACACACAGGAGTTCCTAAGACTCCTGGCCACCTCAGCAGCAAAGAAAAAGTACCGCCAGGGGAGTTTGACAACGACGACTGCACAACTTACCGCTCACTACCGGCAGCGCTGGTCAGTGATGCTGCAGCGCTCCCAGGCGACGTCTTACCTGAACAAGTCAAACCTCTCAGACGAGGCGGCGTTCCCCCAGGCAGCTAGGGACCCTTGGGAACCTAGCCTGGGGGACCTATGGCAAGTGCTGGAGGATGAGCTAGAGGATGTGATGGCTCAGTAGGTAGGATAAGCTATAGGCTAGTCGTGTACCCATGGCTCAACTGCTGCACGATATGCTGGATCGGTTGTCTTGCCCGCCAGGTCAGGTGGCCATTCCTTGGCCTAGGCTTGCGGTGCCCTGCTTTGCTTGCCAGACTCGTGTGTTTGCCTTGCCTGACCTGCCCGGCCTGACCGTTTGTCTTGCAGATGTCCAGCCCGCGGCCTATCCCTGCCTAGCATGTTTGTTCAAGTCAATTCCTAGGCCTATCTAGCACCCATCCCTGCCTTGCATGTATCCCTATGAGCCTATCAATGAAGGACTGCTTGAGAGAGAGAGAGAGAGAGAGAGAGAGAGAGAGAGGGAGGGAGGGAGGGAGGGAGGGAGGGAGAGAGGGAGGGGGAGAGTGTGTGTGAAGGAGATAGAGAGGGAAAGAGAGGGATACAAAGAGAGAGAGGCAGGGATAGAGAGAGATAGATCGAGAGTGTGTGTGAAGGAGAGAGAGAGAGAGAGAGAGAGAGAGAGAGAGAGAGATAGAAAGAGAGAGAGAGGGAGGGAGGGAGGGAGGGAGGGAGAGAGAGAGGGGGAGAGTGTGTGTGAATTAAAGAGAGAGGGAGAGAGAGGGAGGGAGAGATAGAGAGAGAGAGAGAGAGAGAGAGAGAGAGAGACTATGCTGTTGTGTGTGTTGTATGTGTGAGAGAGAGAGAGAGAGAGACTATGCGGTTTCAATCCCCACATCCTTCTCTCCTAGTGTTGCTCCTAGTGCAGCTTATAATGAGTACACAATCCCTTTTAAGCCTCACTCTGCCACTTTCTCCTCTCATTAGTGACTGGTGAGTTCTTCACTCCCAACCCTGCTACTCCAGGCAGCTATCACCACACCGTCAGTCACAGTGGTCGCCTATGCAGATGATATCACAATCATAGGGCGCCCGGAGGAAGCAGTGCAGGTCTTCGACGCACTCAAGGCGAGACTGGCAGGTTGTGGCCTGAGATGCAACGTGCAAAAATCAACGGCATGGGGACACATCATAGCTAACGAGGGGGTGGTCCTGCCAGAAGGGATCACGGCGGCAGAGGGAGGCATCCGCGTCTTAGGGAGCCCCGTGGGGACGGCGGATTATGCAGCTAACTTCCTGCGTACAGCGCTGATGCAAGCAGCCGAGTCATCTGACTTAATAGAGCAGATGCACCCGCAGCACGCGCTATTGCTACTCTCTAGATGCATCTCCCGGAGGGCGTCCTACCTACTGCGCACAACACCCGCGGACCTGCTGCAACTCGAGGAATGGCGCTCCTGGAGTGAGCATCTGCTGCAGTGCGCCATCTAGGCGGCAGGGCTACACTACCGAGCTGCCGAGCTGGAACAGAGCCTGCTGTGGCAGCAAGCAACACTCCCCATCAGCCTGGGCGGTTTGGGGGATCATAGACCCAGTATCGGAAGCCCCAGCAGCATACCTCGCCTGAATCAGCGCGGCACACCGACTGATCCAGCAAGTGAACATCCCGCCAGACCACTCACTGACCAGATGGAAACCAGGGTGGGCTGCCAAGGAGGCCAGCATTAAGAAACACAAGCTGTACACAGGCAGACCGGGCTGTGTGGGGTTTTTTGGGTTGACACACAGAGGTTCTTGCGCCTCCTAGCAACACACTGGGCGGCGGAACTGGTCGGCGATACGCGGATTGACAAGCCTGGGTAGGACAATGGGCATGTGGTCCGTTTGATCAGCCTGCAGGGGGTAGGTGCGGGGGACTGGCTCCATGCAATCCCCACGCGGGCAGATCTTACGTTCTCGCCGGGCCAGTTTGCTCTGGCCCTGGGGTTCCGCCTAGGACTGACACTGCCGGTGACGGAGAACTGCCCGTGCCAAGGGGAGCGGGGGGAGATAGGGGACCTGAGCTTACCGAACCACCTGCTGCGGTGCGGGGAAGGGAAGGAGAGGACAAACACACACAACTACCTCGTGTATGCAGCGCTTCGCATGGCCAGGGAGGCGGACTACCTTACCTTGTATGAGACCACGGTCTACTCGCAACCCATCAACCCCAAGCGAGCAGACCTGGCCATCAAGGACAGGGAGTCCGCCGAGACGTATGTGACGGACGTCACGATGACCGACCCCGTCCTGCAGCGCCGAGACACGAGGGCAGTAAAACCGCCAGGTTGGGCGGCAGAGGACGCAGCGAGAGGGAAGAGGGGATTGTATGAGGGGCGGCCGGATTACGTGGGGGTGTTTGGGCTGGCGGTGGAAACGTATGGGGCCCTGGCACGCGACACACAACGGTTTCTCCGGCTCTTGGGCAGACAGGCGGCTAAAAAGAAGTTTAGGCAAGGGAGGCTTACCACGGTAGCCTCCAAACTGACAGCCCACTACCGCCAGTGCTGGTCGGTAGCGCTGCAGAGGAGCCAGGCAAACACTTTCCTGGCTAAGTCTAACCGGGCCACAGAGAGTGCCTACCCCCAGGCGGCGGCTGACCCATGGGAGCCCCGCCTGTGGGACCTGTGCCAAGTCATTGAAGATGACTTGGACTGGGGCCCTCCCTAGACGTGTGAGGGGCGGGACAGAGGGGGCAGCCACGGCAGTATGCGGCTCTCTCCCACTGGTTGGCGTGCCACGGGGTGGTACTTGTATCTGACAGGTCGATTGGCGGAACCTAGAGGTTAGCTTTGCTGGTTTATATGTGCACGGCCTGTACCTTATAAAATATTAATGAAGGACCGCTTGAGAGAGAGAGAGAGAGAGAGAGAGAGAGAGAGAGAGAGAGAGAGAGAGAGAGAGAGAGAGAGAGAGAGAGAGAGAGAGAGAGAGGGTTAGCCTCTGCCCTCTGCCCTTAGCCTCTGCCCTTGGGTTCCTAGCTACTTAAGTGGCTGTTCTAGCTTCCTTGGCTCATTATTCATTTGGCGGCCGGAATTTTTTCGCTCGTTTGAGAGAGCGAGAGAGAGAGAGAGAGGGTTAGCCTCTGCCCTCTTCCCTTAGCCTCTGCCCTTCGGTTCCTAGCTACTTAAGTGGCTGTTCTAGCTTCCTTCGCTCATTATTCATTTGGCGGCCGGATTTTTTTCGCTCGCGCCGGCAGCCTTCGGCGGCCGACGCTCGACGGCGCGGCCTTCGGCCGCGCGTGAGGGAACAGCAAGTAACGGCACACATAGTTGTCTATATTCAAAGGCAATACACGCATGGCAAATGCGACCGCGGCCTAGCCGCGCGAATCACTAATGGGGCAAACGGAGCCCGCGTCTACATGCGGTGAGCTCCAAGGGCGTGAAGAACGCCTGTCAGGGAGCGCCACAGCTCCCGGACCACAAGCGTGCTTGCGCCGATCGCCGCGGCTCCAGATCCTGCGCGCAAGTGCCGCCTCAAGCCCCGGACAGCCTCGTCAAGCTGTCCCGCGGCAGCAGCGCCACCCTTCGCGGGCGCAGCCAGCACGGGCGCCAGCAGCACTGCTAGCTGGTCCGTCGCGTCCAAGCAAGTGTCACGCTGGCGGCCACGGAAGGTCTCAGGAGGGATCACGGGGAGAGAGGAGTGAGCAAGGACCTGAATCAGCAGCAGCGCGTGGAGACTCTCCGCGAGGCGGTGGAGCTGGCCGAGTATCGCCTCGGGAACACGGGTCTGCGGAGGCTGGAGTGCCTCCGCCAAGAACTGGAGCGGCTCATCAGCATCAACTTGGAGAGCATACGGAGCCGCCTCCGCGCCACCACCCGCTGCCACAAACTCCACTCCCGCAACGGGCGAAACCGGCGGCAGATGGGGACGAGAGCCGGGAGCAGGTGCCGAGACAGCGGGAGCAGGAGCTGGCGGGGCATGGATCTGAGGGGGAGGCGCAGCGACAGGTTGCAGGTTCGCGGGGAGCGCAGCCGGACGAGGAGCCTCGTGGGCTGGCGAGGCGCGCATCGAACTGCTCTGGCTCTGCGCCGCCCTCTCTTCACGAACTGCCCTCGACACTTCCCGCTGAAGATCCGCCATCGCCACGGGCGGGCGGTACCCCCCACCCCCGCCACGAGCACGGGGACCCCTCCAATCCCCCTGACCTCCGGGGTGAGCAGGCCAGTGCGACTGTTGCTGATAACGCCGCGGAGACTCACGCCGGCGACGAGACGACTAGCGCTCCTGGTGGGGAGCGGGGGAATGTGGGCGCGACGAGCGACGGTCGGGTGACGGCGGGCGTGACGGTTGACCCGCCGAAGCCATCGGCGTCACAGCAGGTGCGGACTGTCCCGCCGCCGAGGGCGCAACTAACGGAGCCGGTCCGCCAGTGGTGGCGGACGCCTCCTTCGGTGACGAAGCAGAGGCCGGAGCAGGCACGCCGGGGACAGAAGCGGGCGGTGCAACAGGGGCGCCAAGGACAGGCGCAGGGGGATCAGCAACACCCCCAACAGGGGCAGACGCCAACGGCTCGACAAGGGGAGCCGAGGGGCCAGGGGCCACAGGCGGAGCAGACGGAAAAGCAGCGGGGGCAGACGAGTCAGCCTCTGACGCGGCAAGGGGATCCGCGGGTGCGTAAGGAGGAGTCTTTTCAGCGACTGTTGTCACGGGCTTCGGAGCCGGCGGTAGAGGGGGCTTTGTCGCCATGGTCGCCCTTTCGGGCTCCGCCTGAGGCTTGCCGGCCGCAGCTGACCAGGCGGCAACGAGCTCTGGCGACGGCTCAGGCGCACCGGCAATCACCATCTGTGGAACGGAGAGGTCACGGGGCTAGGAGACAAGATACTAGCGGGTCGGGCGGAGGACCGGAGAACGGCTATCAGGCAGCAGTGCGTTTGGCTTTAAACACGCTGGAAGCGACTAATGAGGAAGAGGAGTTGAGAGACCCTTCTTATAGGGAAGAATCCCTCCCCCCAAGTGAAGATGACGGATCAGGGGATGAAGGCAGGGCAAGGGAGACATTGGGGAGAGGAGCAGCCGAGGTTGGACACTCGGCAATACAAGTGCCATAGGCGGGTCATCGACCGTCGGATGCAGATCGAACGGGTGATATTCCAACGCCAATGTCAACCACGAGGACGAGCCGCGCTCAACGAAATCGAACCGCCGCAAACAATGTCGCGACGCGCCAATCCGCCCTGACCCCCCGCTATTTTTCGCCTGACGAGTTAGCGAAGCGATCAGACCTGTTCGCATCCATTGCGAACTGGGACATTGCAGCACTTAGCGTCAGTCGACAGCCTTCGCTGTCCCGACGTCTACCGCCAAACCTCTGCCACCTGTTCTCGCTGGCGCTTCTGACGCCGTTACTCCACCTATCGCGAAACCCAGAATCCGAAACGGGATGGCGCCTGCTGTTGTTTCTCCCGCGCCTGACACTTTGCCAAACCTCGCCACAGCGACCGAACTGGCCAGGGATCAAGGCCCGGCTCCGAGCCTTTCAGCGAGGCGAATGGGAGCAGCTGTACCGGGACACGGTGGACTCGGTCAACACACCCCCACCGCCACGACACCAGCCCGACGTGACAGGGGTCATCAGCCGAGCCGAAGGACTGGCAAAACGTGGCAGTCTACGTCGAGCCGTGCTGGCTCTAGAGTCAACACCAGTCTGCACCCCCAGTCCGGAAATCTTGGAGGAGCTCCGCCAAAAACACCCGTCAGCAGTACACGACGCAGTGTCCTGGCCCGCGCCACCCAAGTCAACGTTGTCCATAACCCACGCGGAGTTCGCCAAGCTCCTGGGGAGATGCGAGAACGGAGTTGGAGCCGGACCGTCTGGCACGACATTTGAGCACATGCGCAATGCGGCGATCACCAATGCGATGGTCAGCACCCATCTGCACGCCTTGGTCAATACCATGCTTGGAGGAGAGTTGCCAGGCCCGGTCGCAAAACTCCTGACGGCGTCGCGACTAATAGCTTTGGCCAAACCTGGTGGAGGCGCCCGGCCAATCGCAATAGGCGAATGTTTGACGAGACTGACAGCCAAGGCAGCCCTAACAGCCATGGGAGAAGCTGCCCGCGATTACTTCCTGCCACTCCAGTACGGTGTAGTAGTGCCCGGGGGGGCGGAGGCAGTAATCCATGCAGCCAGGGCATTTTTGGATGCCCGTCCCAACAGCCTGGTTCTCCAAGCAGATATCTCAAACGTCAACAGTATTTCGCGACAAGCCATCGCTACAGCGTTACAAGAGCCCACACTCTCGCCACTCCAGCCGTTTGTCAAACTGACCTACGGTAACCCGTCGCAACTGCTCTTAGACGCGAACTTCAACTACGACCCACTGCAAAGTGAACGTGGCGTCCGGCAAGGGGAACCACTCGGCCCGCTACTGTTCGCAGCAGGGGTACACCTCGTGCTCCGTGAGACAGCTGAGGCACACCCCGACGTGCTTTGTTTGGCGTATGCGGATGAGGTTACTTTTTTGGGTGACTCATCTCGCACTGTAGCTGCTTTCACGCATTTCACAGCCAAACTTGCCCAGCTGGGCTTGGCACATAATCCGCGGAAATGCTCGGCCTGGAGTTCAATCACAGGCACACAGCCACAACTACCGCTGGGCGTGCCGTACTCCAAGGATGGAGTCTGACTTCTGGGTAGTTACTTGGGGACTGACGCTGGAGCAGCCACGTTTCTGACGGGACAGCTCGACGAGATGGCGAAACCGCTACCACTTATAGAACGTGCCGACCCCCAGGTGGCTGCACTTTTACTCACGCGATGCATCTCCAGACGGGTGGCCTACCTCATTAGAACGACTCCTCTCCACCTCCTTCCCCGCGACACCTGGAGCCAGTGGGGTCGGGACATACTTACCACCCTACTCACCTCATGCGACATCCGCACACCAACTTGCCGCACCGAGCAAGCTCGCGTCTGGGAACATGCGTCACTGCCCACATCGCTAGGCGGCATCGGCATTACGGACCCGCTTATAGAAGGAGTCTACGGCTTCTCAGCGAGTTTCACTCAAGCGGCGCTCTTCCTGTCCTCCCTTGTGCTAGATCCAGCAAGTGCTTTAACGGTAGCTCAGAACCACATGCTCCTGCCACGGGACGTTGGCACACCTCTGCATTCTTGGCTCACGGAGTGCGAAGCGGCCCTACCGTTAGACGCACGCGAGATCCTGGAGAAGGAGAGGTTAGAGCGATCGGATATTCGGCTCCAACATGTGCTCGGGCTGAAGGTGCACGGAAGCAGATATGCCACGCAGGTCCGGGCAACGAGGCGCATGCGGCTGAACCCATTATCAGGCCACACGCAACAGATGTTCTCGCTGACCGGATACGGCACCGGTGATTGGCTGACTGTGAAAGAACAAGGAATGAATGCACTAGGAAACAGGTGGGTACAAGTAGGATGACCTAAAAGTGTTGTACCCCATATTGTCTACCCCACTACAGCCTACACAGACTATAGCATATAAGTCTGACACACCCCCATAGGCAAAGTGGGGGAGAACAAGGGGTCACAAGACCAGTCAGGCAAAGCAAAGCAAGCTCAGGGTGGATCACAACGTCACCACACATTCCGAGCACAGGTTCAAGGCCACAAGGCCAGTTCACATGCAGGATCATATAAAGGTAAACAAGCAAGTGCAAGTATATGTAGAACACAGTACAAGCAAGGTCAAGAAGTAAGCAAGTGAGGCCAGGTAGGCACAAGACCTAGCATCGTACAAAAGCGCTGATGATCACAAGGCTGAAGTGCCTTGGTAAAGATATCAGCAGTGTTGGCCTGAGAGGCCACGTAAGTAAGGCGTAGCTGACCACGCTGCTGTAGCTCACGAGCAAGGAAGTAGCGAAGAGCAATGTGCTTCGTTCTGTGCTCCAGTCTGTGCTCCCGACACAAGGCCAACATGGCCTTGTTGTCTACGTACAGAACTGGAGGAGAACGAGGCGGCTCTCCTAGGTCAGTCAACAGGTAGGTGAGCCAGCGTAGCTCCTGTGCAGCCATGGCCCCCGCGTAGATCTCAGCCTCACAGCTGGAGCCGAGAACAGAAGACGAGCGGGTAGACCGCCACAAAACAGAGCCAGAGCCAAGGCTGAAGGTGTAACCCTGTAACGACCGCTGCGTAGACTGGTCGTCAGCCCAAGAAGCGTCTGCGTGACCTGTGAGGACCACTGAACGCCGCCCTCCAAGCACTAGCCCCATGCCCAACGTACTGCACAAGTAGCGCAACACCCTCTTCGCTGCAGCCATGTGCTCTGGTCAGTGTCTCCCAGGAGCAACATAGCGTGCCAAGATGCTAAGAGGGTATGCAAGGTCAGGTCGAGTGCAGGTCATCAGGTACATGAGGCAGCCAACAAGCTCTGGGTACGGGCCACTCGGCTCTACGGACTCATCCGAAGGCAGAGCTGAGAGCGAGTGGCGGGTAGACAGAGGAGTGGCCTGAGGCAAGGAGTACGTGAAGTCGAAGCGCTGAAGGACCTGCTGCACCATGTGTGACTGAGTCAGGGTAATGGTGCGCTGTGCTCTGTCCCGGGTGATCTGCAAGCCAAGGTAGCTGCGCAGTTCACCCAAGTCTGTGCACGTGTGTCTCTTCTGCAGCTCGGACTTCACGTGGGCGAGTCCAGCAGTGTCAGCAGTGGCAAAGACCAAGTCGTCGACGTACACGAGGATGTAGAACGGCGGCAAAGAGGTGTCGGTGCGCAGAAACAGCGACGGGTCGGCAGTAGAAGGAGCAAACCCAAGAGCCGCAAGTGTAGTCCTCAGTGTGTCGTGCCACTCACGGAGCGCCTGGCGGAGATCGTAGACTGGCCGCCGGAGGCTCCACTGGGTACCAGGGGGGAACGACCCAGTGAAGCTAGGTGGGCGGCGCAGCCAGATCTCCTCGTGCAGGCTGCCCTGCAAGAAAGCTGTGCTGAAGTCAAGAGAGTGAAGCTCGTAGTCGCGCTGAGCGGCTACATGCAGCAGCACCCGAAGAGTGGTCATCTTCGGGGTGGGAGAGAAGGTTTGAAAGTAGTCAACTCCCTGCCGCTGACTGAAGCCTCGAGCCACGTAACGCGCCTTGAAGACAGGCGGAGAACCCGGCGGCCGCTTCACCCTGAAAATCCACATGCCACTGACGATGTTCGCCCCAGGTGGGGGAACCTCGTCGACGTAGGTGCCTGTGGACTTCCAGGAAGCCATCTCTGCGTCCATGGCTGACTGCCACTGTGAGGAGTAGGGACCCTCGATCGCCTCAGCGTACGATCGAGGAGTCGGGATGTCTGGTGCATCCGGGTCTCCCTCAGGGGCAATCAGCATGGACACGAGATGAGGCAAAGCAGCAGCAAAACACTGGAACTCCTCCTGCCTGTCCTCAAGGACGTCCGTGCTAAGAGCACACTCACCCCCGACGGACGGAGGACAGACAGACTCAGACTCAGCAACAAGACTAGCAGCGTAGTCTAGACGACAGTGAGCAGCGAAGTCGACAAGCTCAGCAACTAAGGCAGACGCAGCAGTGGACTCAAAGGAAGGGTCAGTGACAACAGTAGCCAGGAGACGCGTGACAGTAGGACTGGCAGCACGAAGAGAGTCCGACTCCGGGTCAGCAAGAGCAGGAAGAGAGGACTCAGGAGGAGACGGCAAAGGGACACGCTGCGGAGCAGTGGAAGGATGCAGTGCCATCTGGTGCGTGCCCGGGACCGCAGGAGGACGCTGACGCGGAACACGACGACTAGTGCGAGCAGTACGAACAGGCAACGCAGGACGAGACGCAGGCGCACGACGCTCAGCAAGACCTCCAGTAGGACCAGTG